TGGGGAATTTGTATTTGGTGTGGTTGTATTCTCTTCAAAATTCCCACCATGATAGACTTCTAAAAAGAACAATCTAAATTAAAACTAATGAAAACAAACAAAAGTAACTTACGGCTTATACTTGCAAGTAAAATTGAAGAAATGCACCAACTCTGAAGACAAATTCACCGCTAGCTCTGCATCTTCGGTCTTCTTGACATCATCAATGAATGGGAAGGTAATGACACGCTTCATAAGGCTTGTCAACTCCTTTGCATCATCTTCAACATCCTTTGAGCTAAAGCCCTTCTCTTCATTGTCATCCATCGAAGGCAATATACGCCCCTCGCCATTGTCTGTAACAAAGGTGTTGAAAGCTATGTGGCCACACCCACGTTGACAATTGAAGTATAAGTGTAAAAGGCCTTGAACCACGTCCCTGCAAAAATGTAAAAGCAAAGGTAAACAATATGTTATTAACAAAACTTGAGCTAATGATACTAGAAAACAAAATGCATAACAGCTTGAGCAAACAACACAATACATCACCCAAGATAGTAATAGTATGTACAAAACTTAGGAGACTGGATTTACTAGATGTGCCTAGAGATCCAAAAGATATAGATGCCATAGTTGTAAAAAAAATCACCAAATCATACACGGAAGAATAAGGAAGGGGGAGACCAAGGAAGAAGACGAAACCAGACAATTCACCATCTGCAAATACTCAATCGGATAATTCAAGTGAAATGAATACGCCTGTTCCTACAGTTCCAGCAGATCCGGGAAAAAAAGAGAAACTGAGAGACGAAGGAAAAGACGATCTGGAGAAAGACGGACAGATGGCAGTTGAGGAAGAGGCATTGAGAGAATCGGCACAAGAGGAATTACAGGTACTGCCTAAATCATATGCTGAAGCAGTGGGCGATAAAGAGGAATTGGATTGTAAACTGCACTTTATTGCTGCGATTGAACATAATGGTTGCAAAATTGCAAAGATGACGAAGGATGATATCGTGGAAACATCCTCTTACTGGGAAACTGCAATACTGATGTGTATCCTAGGTGCAAATCCTCCAATCGAGGTGGTCGAAGGATTCGCTAAAAGGATATGGAAACAGGCAGATATTCTGGATGTTACTATGCTCAAACCTGGGCAATTTGTGTTTCGATTTGGTAGAACTGAAGATACTGAGGAAATTTTGAAGAAAAGCTACTATTTCTTTGATAAAAAACCAGTATATGTGAGGAAATGGCAGCCAAGAAGTAGATGAATCTAGATGCTCTGACTGATATACCTATATGGATCCAACTGCCAGATCTGGATCCCAAATTTTGGAGCATCTCTGGCCTAAGCAAGATTGGAACCCTTATAGGTAACCCAATTAAAGCTGACAAAACAACAATTGGGAAAACCAGATTGAATTATGCTAGAATACAGATAGAGGTTGGTATGAAGCAACATTTTCCTGAAGAAGTGCAGTTTGAAGATGATAAAGGAAGGATCATAACACAGACTGTGAAATATGAGTCGTACCCTATCTCATGTACTCACTGTAAAGCAATTGGGCATCAAGAAAATTTGTGCAGGAAGAAAACAGGTGAAAGGAAGAAGATGGTATGGAAAAGAAAAGATAGGCAAAACAGGTGAAAAGGAAAGCTGAAGTTAACATACTAGCAGCATGTGACCAAGCAGTTCATTGTAGAGTCAGATGGATAGGCAAAACTCATACTGAGGATGTTACCTTTATCTATGGACACAATGATAATGGAGCAAGGAAGAGCTTATGGCAGTTCTTAAAGGGCATGTATGCACAGACTAGTGGAGCTTGGTGCTTAATGGGGGACTTTAATACTATACTTGGAACTGATGATAGGAAGGGTGGCCTGCAAATTAGCCTGGAGGAAACTATGGATTTCAGAGAATGCATAAATTTCTGTGAATTGGAAGAAATCCCTAAAGAAGGAGCCTACTACACTTGGACAAATAAACAAATGGCAGAGAACAGAATTATATCAAAGTAAGATTGGGCTTTTGCAAATAATGAATGGTTGATCAACAATAATACAAAAATTAGAGTGTTGGAGGAAGGGATATCTGACCATTCACCGCTTATCTTAATCCCAGTAGATTATTCATGTGCCAAAAAGATCTTTAGATTTTGTGACATGTGGATCACAAACCCCGAGTTCCCTAAGATATTGAAGGATGTCTGGAATTCTAATATAGAGGGAAGGAAGATGTACCAGCTTACCCAAAAGCTAAAGATGCTGAAACAACCTCTGAGGAAACTGCACAGGAGGAAGTTTAGTAATATACAGGATCAATGTGATTTGGCCAGAGAGGAAGTAGCTAGAATCCAAAAGGAGCTGAGGAATGATCCTTTTAATACCACACTAATAACAGAGGAGAGGAAACTGATAGCAGATTTTCAAATGAAATTGAAGAACGCTCACAGAATGCAATGCCATATTATGAAACAAACTTGGATTAAAGAAGGTGACCTGAACTCTAGAATGTACCATGCCTGGATCAAGAAAAGAAAGCTTCAAAATCATATTGGATGTATTTACAACAATAAGGGGGATAGGATTGAAAACACTGAAGGGATTGCTGGGGAAATGATAAGACTTTTCCACCAACTCCTAGGCACACAGAATCAGGTAGAGGAGATTGACACAGAGGTTATAAGAGGGGGGAAAATCCTGACAACTGACCAACAACTGGCACTCATAGAAGAAGTAACCCCCGAACAGATAAAGGAAGCAATGTTTGATATTCCCAATACGAAGAGCCCGGGTCCAGATGGGTATAACAGTGGCTTTTTCAAAACCTAATGGGGACAAGTGGGGGGATTAGTCACAGAGGCTGTTATGGAATTTTTCCAAGCTAATAAAACTTTGAGACAAGTGAATGCTACAAGCATTACTGTCATACCTAAGAAGGATAATCCTAAATACCCAGCAGATTATAGACCTATTGCATGCTGCAATGTGGTGTATAAGGTCATCTCTAAAATCCTGAGCAGCAGACTGAAAAAAATACTGCCTGGGATCATTGACTGGAACCAGGGGGCTTTTGTCAAGGGGAGAGAATTACTCCATAATGTGTTACTGTGCCTCGGCTTTTGTCCTATAAAATTTGCTTATTTATAGGTTGTTGAACCTTTCAAGTTACTCAAGTCTCCTTTGTCATTTCTTTAGGACAGTCGTTAATACGTTGTTCTTTGAAAAATTCATTGGTCCTTGATATTGATTATTTTCTTAGTCGTCATATGAATGTATGCATACTCGAGCAAATTTTAGCCGGCTGTTTTTCTGTACTCATACACCAATAAGAGACTTAGAGACTTCTTTTATGCATGTTTACTCCTACGTTTCGGAAGGCACTGTACGTACGATGCCATGTGGTTTGGTTCTTTTTATTTATAGAGTAATACAGGGTATTATCAACTCTTCTTTTATGAGTTTTCTTTTTACCTGAGTCTTGGTGGACATTGTTTGTGTTATAGTACGGAGTATATCGTTACGTTAGAATACAGGTTTTTGGGAAACTGGGTTTCCTGTTAACCCGGACCGGAGTTGTCACCAGTTCGCAGTCCGACCGGTTGGACGAGCTGGTCCGGTCTGGGTTCAATAACATTGCTTGAAAATAAAATGCACAGGTCGTAAATGAACAACACAAATGAGCACTGTGTTTTGACCCAGGCCAGATCGGATTTTAGTGTACCGACTATCATTAAAACATTTTGCATATTATTGTGGTGCTAAACCTTTTCTTAGCAGAGAAGAAAACATTGAAACAACATGCACTGCTTGCAGATTAAGTGAAACAGTTTGCATATTAGGTTGGTTTGATGTTGTTTAAGCTTTTATACTCTCGTTATTTGTCCCCATTTTGATTACATTGGTTCATAGTGTTTGTGCCTCAAAAAGATGGAATACGAAAGATGCAAACCTTAAAACCCTCATTTTATTCAGTGAATCTTTTAAGGATTCCCAATTGGTGATTCATTTCTATGTTTTCATGAGTTGGATTAGAATAAAACTGGGCTATAAGTGGTGTGCATCTCCGAAAACTATAAAGAATGAAGAAAATGCACTGTCAGGATAAGAATATTAAACAAAATGTAGCTACTTATGTTTTTAATGCAAGAAGGTTATTAATTGATTTTATAGATCATCAAAACTCAAATGCAAAGTATAATTAATTAATAATTAAAATTAACTAATTCGACTTAGACTGTCCTTGTTATAATTTCAAGGCCATTAATAATTACAATATGACTAAAACTTTAAAAAATGTAAAATTCATTTGCTTTTTATTATTATTATTCTTGTTGTTGTTGTTGTTAGTGGTGGTGGTGGTGGTAGTGGTGGTGTTATTACGTTATCTAAATGATTGTCTTTAAAATAAAAAAATATTATGAATATTATTTTCATATTAAAAAACTACATGAAAAGTTCTTCGAAATAAGAGGTGTCAAGAATATTTTATTTTATCAAATAATCAATGAAAACATCGAAATAAACAAAAGTACCCGTGACTGTTGAAAAAGCAAATGTTGTGAATATTTAGGGACGGAGGGTGTATATAACTATTTAACCATAAATTTTTAAATAGTTTCCTATTTTTTCTTGTAGATTAATATACAAAAAATGGTATTATTCATATTAAAAAGTTGAAGAAAAAAATAATGAATATGAATCATAAAAATATTGAGATGACAAAATGAAATAATTTATAAACTATAGTTATCAACATAAAAGTTGTAATCAAAAAACTGTAAGTATAATAATAATAATAATAATATATTTTTTAGACTGATTTGTCAGAAAGTAAAAAGAATTTGAAGAAAATAAATATAGTTGGAAGAAATTAGAAAAAAACTGGAAAAAACAAGAAAAGGTGGAAGATATTGGAAGAAACTGGAAGCAACTGGAAAAAATTGGAAGAAACTAGAAAAAACTGGAAGAACTGGAAGAAACTGGAAGGAACTGAAAGAAAATGGAAGAAACTGGAAAGAACTCGAAGAAACTGGAAAGAACTAAAAGTTAAGAATTCAAGTCCAAAAGAACAGGCCCTTAATGTAAGAGAAGATTAAGTGGGAAAGAGTAAATATATAGGTAGGGCTGTAAATGGATAACTGAAAATTCGATTACCATCCGAATCCGTATTTTTTTATATGGAAAATACTAGCATCCGTTAAACGCAGTTATTATCCGTGTCCGAATAAGGATATCCGATTGCTAAACGAATACAAATTTGGTAATTACACATCCGATCCGTTTATAATCCGCTCCGCATTGACATCCGTTTAAATAACCGTTTATTCATGTATCCGTTTTGTTATATATAGTTTTTCCTAATTTTTTATTTTTATATTTTGTTTCTCTATTGATATCTCTAAGTATAAGACATTTTTATATACAAAAAAAATATGTGTAGACATATAAAATATGTGTATGTATGTATTGTGTATATCAGTCTATAATATGAAGCCATCGTAGAATATCATAGACCATAAAAAATCAGAAAATAATTATCCCACTAAAATTTATAGTTGATTTAATAATATTTTGATTTAGTTTAATTGAAAGTTAAAGTATTGTTTAATTTGGTTTAAAAAATTGAAAATGGATACGGATATATCCAATATCCGTCGAATGCGATCCAGTTTTCAGTATTCATTAAAAATTCGTATCCTAAGTTGATATTCAACAAAAATAAACTGATAATGGGACATACTAATATACTACTGGTATTAATATTTAATATTCCCATATGCGATTCGCTTCCGCTCCCCTCACGCCAAACCCCTCTTACCCTCATCTTCTCTTCCACACAAAACTTGTCACCCAGAATCAGATTTCTTTTCTTTCTCGATTTAATTTTAATCTGTCAAAAGGTATGTTTCTTCTTCCCTCTCCGATCTACTTTCATACTCTTCTTTTCGCCAATTTTAGGGATTTTATTAAAAAAATTTGGAACCTCAAATTGTCATATCATTCTTGCTTACCAGTATTCTATTTTAATTTGAAGAGGCATGCCATTTTTAGTTTTTCATTTGTTAAATTTTTGATTTCGAACTAGAAAGGGTCAATCTAAAATTTTTAAAATTATTATGAGATTCTTTTATTTTATCAAATTATTATAAGTTCTTCGTTTTTGTGAAATTAGTGACAGATTCTATTTTAGTCCAGTTATTATCAGATGATTATAAATTCGTGGTTTTTGTTATTTGAAATTAGATGCGGTCATCTGTAAAATTGTGAATCCTTTTATTTTGTTTTGATTATAAACAAAAGTTGTTACATTTTTTTTTTTAATTTTTTTTTATTTCCTTAAAAAGGTGTTACAAATCTTTTTGATTTTATAATGGAATTGTTACAAAGTTGTCTTAAAGTCTGTATCTTTATTCTGGTCCAAGTTTTTTTTCATCAGATTTTGATTTTGTTTTTTCATTCATACGGATTTTTCTTCCCAAGTGAGATCTAAGATTTTTTAATTTTCTTTGATTTCCTAACAAAGGTGTTACAAATCTTTTTTATTTCATAAAAGAATAGTTACAGAGTTGTTTTAAAGTCTGTATCTTTATTCCATACAAAGATTTTTTTTTCCATCTCATTTTGATTTTGTTTTTTTCACTCATATAGATTTTTATCCTGACATTATTTTTTTTAAAAATTCATGCTTCTTATAGAATGTATTAAACTAAAATCATATACCTGCATTTGCTTTCGTAGTTGCTCACCAAACAACAATGATTGATTGTGAATTGGTTTCATTTTTGTTTTTGTCCAAACACTTTCCTTTTTCCAAATTTCATGAGCCATATGCATTGTTTTTTTGGTACGGGTATTTCAGAACTCACACCTTATCAAAAACGGAGAAAGAAAACAAAAGAAAAACGAGGCAATGAAAGAAATGGGAGAAATCAGAGGAGAGACAATGGAAGGAGGAGATAAGAAGGCAGAGGTGATTCTGGTGCGCACATTGGCTGCAGATGTGCCGGAACTGTATAATAAAGATGGCATACGCTGTCGGCGTGTACGATTTAACCAGGTGGATCTGAGTGAAGGTAAAATAAAGAGCAATTGCTTTCCTCCAATGTTGAATTGGTTTTGCGATGGTGCTATGGTGCGTTCGGACAGTGGTCCAGTGGTTTACCTTATAGGCGGTCTGTCCAGCAGAGATGAGCTAACATGTGAACCAATAGATGGAGCCAGTTCTGATGATGTGTACTACAAATGCGGCTGTCGGATGGACTTGCAGAAAGAAGAGGAAGGTAGGGTGTGGGAGCAGATTGATCTTCCTATCAAAAATTGCTATATTCCCTTTTGCGCATCGCTGTTTGGAAAGCTTTATGAGTTTGGATTTCGCTGCCTCCACACTCCCGAGGTTTTTGATCCGAGTGTCGGATTTTGGAAGGAGTTGTCCCC